GTTACAGAATATGTATGGGGAATAACGTACATTACTGGCTATGGTTACAGATGATGTATGGGGGATAACTTACATTACTGGCTATGGTTACAGATGATGTATGGGGGATAACTTACATTACTCGTTATGGTTACAGAATATGTATGGGGAATAATGTACATTACTGGCTATGGTTACAGATGATATATGGGGGATAACTTACATTACTCGTTATAGTTACAGAATATGTATGGGGGATAACTTACATTACTCGTTATGGTTACACAAGATCTATGGGGAATAATTTATATTACTGGCTATGGTTACAGATGATATATGGGGGATAACTTACATTACTGGCTATGGTTACAGATGATATATGGGGGATAACTTACATTAGTCGTTATGGTTACAGAATATGTATGGGGAATAACGTACATACTGGCTATGGTTACAGATGATATATGGGGGATAACTTACATTACTCGTTATAGTTACAGAATATGTATGGGGGATAACTTACATTACTCGTTATGGTTACACAAGATCTATGGGGAATAATTTATATTACTGGCTATGGTTACAGATGATATATGGGGGATAACTTACATTACTCGTTATGGTTACACACGATCTATGGGGGATAACGTACATTACTCGCTATGGTTACACAAGATGTATGGGGAATAACTTATATTACTCACTATGATTACAGAAGATCTATGGGAAATAACGTACATTACTCGTTATGGTTACACAAGATGTATGGGGAATAATTTATATTACTCACTATGGTTACAGAAGATCTATGGGAAATAACGTACATTACTCGTTATGGTTACACAAGATGTATGGGGAATAATTTATATTACTCACTATGGTTACAGAAGATGTATGGGGAATAACGTACATTACTGGCTATGGTTACAGAAAATCTATGGGGAATAACGTATATTACTCACTATGCTTACAAAGATCTATGGGGAATAACGTACAGTACTCGCTATGGTTAGATTTCATTTATGGGGAATACTGTACATTAATCGCTATGGTTACAGATGATCTATGGGGAATAAGTTATATTATTCGCCATATTTTCATACAGTGAACTACGATCAACACTCCCTCTGGTAGAGAGTTTTAAACAACTATCGTTGTAATTGTAGACCTGTCCCTAATTAGCGTTATTCATGCTGGTGACACTAGTGTTCAGAAGAATATTAAGTTAAATGTAAACCAGCGGTTACCGTCAAGGAACGGTCATTACAGCTAGATGAGGTAATAATAGAACAATATAGCGTACTTACGACTAATACTGGGGTTCCAATGATGTACCTACGACTAATACTGGGGTTCCAATGATGTACCTACGACTAATACTGGGGTTCCGATGATGTACTTACGACTGGACTGATACTGGGGTTCCGATGATGTACTTACGACTGATACTGGGGTTCTGATGATGTACTTACGACTAATACTGGGGTTCCGATGATGTACTTACTGATACTGGGGTTCCGATGATGTACTTACGACTAATACTGGGGTTCGATGATGTTACTTACGACTAATACTGGGGTTCTGATGATGTACTTACGACTAATACTGGGGTTCTGATGATGTACTTACGACTGATACTGGGGTTCTGATAATGTACTTACGA